GGGGGGGGAATGCTAGCAGAACCCCACCACCCTGCTTTGTGGTTCTTTTTAAGGCCTAGCCTTGGGGTCTCTATCTATGCGGAAAGTGCATTGACCTAATGGAGTCTGGCTCAGCTGGAGGGTCCTTTGGGGAATTCTGGGAGGGTGCAGGGCAGAGCAGGCGGCTAAGCTGCCAAGGAATGTTGCTGCGGCCTAGAAGGTGCCTGGCATAACCAGCCCGGAGAGTGGGTTTGGTCTTCCGTTGCCTAGGAGAAGAGGGCACCAATTAGGTGTACAGGAGGGGACCTTACAGTGGACTAGTGGTCCCTGTGTCTGGAGTCCCTGGGTCTGTTCTTTCCCCTACCCTGACTTCCTTACCCAGGGGCAGGCAAGTCCCGGTACCCTCCATCCTCCAACCTTGACCTTGAACCTGGTGTCGGATGGGTGGGGCACTGACAGGGGGGCTTCTCCATGTCGTGGGCTGGCCTCAGTCTGTCCCGGCGTCTGGGAAGAGACCCAAGATTTCTCTACCCTCTGTCACTCCCGGATCCCAGATAGGGAGTGACATCTAGAACAACTCTCGGTGCCACCACACGGAAATGTCACCAATCATTTTTCTAGAGTTGAGGATCCACCCTTTTTTTTTTCTTCTTCTTCTCTTTTTTGGTTTTTCAAGACAGGGTTTCTCTGTAGCTTTGGAGCCTATCCTGGACTAGCTCTGTAGACCAGGCTGGCCTTGAACTCACAGAGATCCACCTGCCTCTGCCTCACGAGGGCTGGGATGAGGATCCACCCTTGGGCTTGCCTGTGTACCTCTTCCTCAAGCACCATTAGAGTAGTGCCTATTTTCTCTAGGTCCCTCCCTCCCGAGGCCCAGGCACTTCATATATATATATGAATATATAAATATTTCTGGTGACCACACACCCAGGTGAAGTAGATGTTATCATCCTCGTTTTGTAGGTGAAGACTCGGACTCAGAGAAGTAACTTGTGCAGAGTCTGGCACCCAGCTAGTAAGTAGCAGAGACTGGGTTCCTCCGCAGCCATCTGCTCCTGCCCACACGCCTCCAGGGCATGAGCCAGAGGGCTCACCCTTCGATGAGGTGGCCAGCTCTTCTTGCATACAGCTGTAGGACCAGGAACGTTTCCCTCTCCTTGAACTGACGCCTGCCCCTCGTAACTCCTTTTTGGCCACATGCTCAGAGGCTGGCCCCTGGTGCCCTCTAGCCACTGAGAGGTAGGGGATAGAGATCACAACCACCTCAGGCTGGGGCTCCTTGGTCTGGCATTTTCTGGGCGCTAACCTTAGGGCACAGCCCTGCCTTGGCCCTGCCCTCCGGGCTCCCCATCCCAGGAACGAAACTCAGAGGGAAGCGCATCTGGGTGCTTCAACACTCACGCTGGCTCTGGTGTCCTCCACCCCCAGGCTGCTGAACGAGAGTGACAAACGCCCCTTCATCGAGGAGGCTGAGCGGCTCCGGATGCAACATAAGAAGGACCATCCAGACTACAAGTACCAACCTCGGCGGCGGAAGAATGGGAAGGCGGCCCAGGGGGATGCAGAATGCCCGGGCGGGGAGGCTGAGCAAGGAGGGGCTGCCGCCATCCAGGCTCACTACAAGAGTGCCCACCTGGACCACCGGCACCCGGAAGAAGGTTCTCCCATGTCAGACGGGAACCCAGAGCACCCCTCCGGTGAGTGCTGGGTTGGGAGCTACCAGCGTGCTGTTTGCAGAGCTGCTGTGGGGCTGGGAGAAGCCAGGCTGTGGAGAGTTGGGATCTGGGAAGGGTTGGCCGGGGTGCAGTTCCCCTAGCTGGAGGACAGAAACCACTCCTGGGGAATCTGGTAGCTTATAGTTAGGCAAGGTGTCTAGGGCTGCCAGAGGGTACGTGATGCTGGGCATGGAGGCCATGCCGTGAGAAAACACCACGGCAGCTACTGGGAAAGGGCAGAGGGGTGCTTTTGAGAAAAGAGTGACCAAAAAACAAACAAAAAGACAGGTGGTGGTGGTGCACACCTTTAATCCCAGCAGAGGCAGAGACAGAGGCAGGTGGGTCTCTGAGTTCGAGGCCAACCTAGTCTACAGAGTGAGTTCCAGGACAGCCAGGGCTCTGCAGAGAAGCCCTGTCTGGAAAAACCAGAGGGTGGGGACCAACCACGGCCCATTCATATTTAATTCTCATTAAGGATATGAGTTGACGCCGAGCACTCACAGTGTGCCAGGCACAGGGTGGTTGCCTTGTGTGTCCTGATTCCTCCCACCAACCAATCAGCCCGAAATGGGATGGCGGGGGGGGTGTCAGCAACTCAGATCACTGTCGTCCCATAGATGAGGAGACAGAAAAAGTAGCTTGCTCCACAGATGAGGTCTGAGCCCAGGTGGTGGGACTCCAGGATGTGGGGTTGGCTCTGTGGAGGATGCCTCCTTTGTGTTCCTCATGAGCAAAGTGCCAATGTGACAGGCAGAGAGAGAGAGAGCCGAGAGCCCTGCCATCAGAAGACAAGGCAAGTCCTACTTTGTGTCGGGCACTGGAGAGGACACCGGGAGCCCACCAAGAGAAGCCCGTGATCCCTGCTCAGGAGCCTACAGTCTAGAGGGATGGGATGGAGTGAATGAGGTACAGGAAGAAACTAGCATAGGAGAAGCCTCTTCAGGACTCAGGAGGCAGGATCTATCTGTCCGGGAAACGTCCAGCTCCAGACGTAATCGAGGAGGGCTCCCCAACACGCGGTATCTAGGCTCTCTGGCTCATCTCTGCTCTACTGACACACTGCTTAAAAGAAGGTTTGCCCGGGGTCACACAGTGAATGGCAGAGCCCGAATTCAAGCCTTGGTAGGTCTTCGGAAGTTCGGAGCCCCTGGCTAATGAAGGACTGGACTCTACCTCCAGTGTGAGGGTGAAGGCGCAATCTGACCCTGGCGGCTTCTAGCCTTGTTATACTGCAATGCCATGGATTGGTTTCTCTGTGATGGGACGCTCAGTCTAGTCACCTTCCTTACATATAATCTCATCATCAGAGCCTCTGGGACATTCAGATGCACTTAATGAGGTTTCCCCCAAATCCCTGGGACGGCAGATGGCTTCCTTCTCTGGTCTCCTCAGTCCTTTGCATGTCCCGTCACACAGCACCTACTGCTGGACAGCCTTGTGGGGGCTCTTATCTCTCCATGGCTGCAAGCTTTGGGAGACAGGGCCCGATTTTATTTCCATTTCTCCCTAGCATCCGGCACACTGCCTGGCACTTAGCATTGGCTGAGATGTGTGGATGAGAGAATGTTAACAGGCAGAGAAGAGGGGACCGGTTATCTAAGTGCCCCCTTGAGCGAGGGCCAGCAGGGCAGGGAGTAGCTAGGCTTGAGGTCGCACTGAAGAGGGCACAGTGCTGTTTGGAGGAGGTAAGAGATAACAGCCCAAAGTGGGCAGGGCAGGCGGGGCTAGGCAGGGAGTGACCAAGAGACGTCAACAGTGCTCTGAAGAGCAGGCAGGGTCTGGGACAATGGCCCAGCATGACCCAGTCAGGTCAGCCATTAGGCAGCATGTCAGGGAAGCTGGTCTCAGAGGTCAGCAGCCTGCTGCCTGGAGGTGGGCCATGAGGCCTCCTAGGGCCCATTTGCCTCTCACCTGCTCATTCTTGCTCCCCCACCTCTCCTATCCAGGCCAGAGCCATGGCCCTCCCACCCCTCCAACCACCCCAAAGACAGAGCTGCAGTCCGGCAAGGCAGACCCCAAAAGGGATGGGCGCTCCCTGGGGGAGGGCGGGAAGCCCCACATCGACTTCGGCAACGTGGACATCGGGGAGATCAGCCACGAGGTAATGTCCAACATGGAGACCTTCGATGTGACTGAGCTGGACCAATACCTGCCACCCAACGGGCACCCAGGCCACGTGGGTAGCTACTCAGCAGCTGGCTACGGGCTGGGCAGTGCCCTGGCTGTGGCCAGTGGACACTCTGCCTGGATCTCCAAGCCACCGGGTGTGGCTCTGCCCACGGTCTCGCCCCCTGGTGTGGATGCCAAAACCCAGGTGAAGACAGAGACCACAGGCCCCCAGGGACCCCCACACTACACTGACCAGCCGTCCACTTCCCAGATCGCCTACACCTCCCTCAGTCTGCCCCACTACGGCTCCGCCTTCCCCTCCATCTCCCGCCCCCAGTTCGACTATTCTGACCATCAGCCCTCAGGACCCTACTATGGCCACGCAGGCCAGGCTTCCGGCCTCTACTCAGCCTTTTCCTACATGGGGCCCTCCCAGCGGCCCCTCTATACGGCCATCTCTGACCCCAGCCCCTCAGGGCCCCAGTCCCACAGTCCCACACACTGGGAGCAGCCAGTATATACGACTCTGTCCCGACCTTAGAGGGGGCCGTCCCCACCGGTCCCCACCTGGCCCCAGGGCCCCTCCCCCCAGCCTGTGTGCCCTGCTCCCCATCAGCCTCAGGCCTGGCCGCGAAGGAGGCTGCAGAGGCTGGCGGCGGCAGCAGGGAGGTCTCTGCCAGCTCCTGCCCTGATGACCTCCACCCACCCTGGCTCTGGAGGCCCAGTCCTGACTGAGCTGGCAGAGGAGGAAGAGTTTGGTGGCTGGCCCAGACTGAGGGTGAGGGGCCACTCACCCCTAGAAATGACCCTCTATCCCAGGACCTGAGAAGTCCTGCTCACTCCTTCAGGGAGGTCGGAAGCCTTAGGGTGGGAGACCTCACTCCTGTTTCCTCCTTAGAGAGGAAGGGGTTCAAAGGCCCGTGTATCACTGTGTCACGGTGCCTAAGAGCTAGGCTTCCCAGGGACCTGCCTCAAAGCCTGGAGCTGGCTCTGTCCTGTCCCTAAGGACTCGCTGAGGGCAGCTTTGAACAGCTTTGTGGGGAGCAGGCTGGGATACTCGATGGACGCTCTGATCCCTTCAATGCCCCCTCCTCACCTGAACGCAGGAAGGAACTGGCAGAGGCCCTCAGATCCGATCCTGTGTCAATAACCTCATCCCTTGTCTAACTGAGGAGATCCCCTGTGCTTCCCCACCACCTCCCACACCTCAAGGCCCACCCCAAGTGAGGAGGAGGCAGGGGCTCCGGGAAAGAGCCAGGGGCAATTCACCCAGCCTTCCTCTGCCTCCTGACGGTCAGCCCCGTGTCCCCAGGCCCAGAGTTAGCACTGCCCCAGGCCCTAAGTCCCAGAGCCCAGCACCCAGGCTGCTGGCAGCAGGCTGGACACTAAAACCCCGGCCATGTACATGCCCCCCTTGCCCTGCGCCCTTCGCTCCAGCGATGCCTTAATAAAGTACGTAGCTCCGTCTCCCCAGCTCGTTCTGCAGCCCAGTCCACATGTAACACATCGCTGCCCTTATTTATCTGGATAGTCGCCACGCTCCTGCCCCTCCTCTAGCTACTCCAGCCCCCATTAACTTGCATTAAGCACTCCAAGTAATAAAATCAAAACTTCCGGTCGCCTGCTTGGTGGCCTGACCTGGCCTGTCTCTTGGTCTCTTACCCACAAACCTGTACTTCTTCAAAGGCTTTCTGGAAGCAGCCAGGAGAGTGCAAAGGTGAGCCGTTTCTAGGATCTTTGTCCCCTGACCTGGGGATGGTGGTGGGACCCAGGACAGCCAGCCTCCCGATGGGCGGGCTCGTACCCAGGGACGAAGGCCTCAGAAGGGAGCCACACACAGGGGCCACCCATTCTTCTCGGGTCCAGCTCTGACTCACTCTCTTCTGCTCCGCTCACTATTGCCGCTCTGCTCCTGGGACAGGGGAGTCGTCTGCCAGGAACTCAAGGGACAGCTATTCAAAGGGGGCAGTGGGCTGGGCTCGCTCCTGAGGTGAGCGGTCAGGCCTGGTTCCATAGGATGCATGGATGGCCTTCTGTGGCTACAACTTCTCCACCCATCACCTCCCCCAGTCCACAGAAACGTCACACACACACACACACACACACACACACACACACACACACACACACACACGAGCGAGCGAGCCCATGCCAGCAGCAGCCCATTTGTGTCTAAACCAAGCAGCCCCATTCATGTGTGCTCCCCGAGTTTGTCTTCAGTGGGGGCCATGACCTATGCCACTGCCAAGCTCACACCTCCGCTGGGTTTGCCAGGGGTGTGCATCCTTTAGGCCTCCGAGGGAGTGGCATCATGGCCCGATGCTTTGGGAAGCCGGTGCCCAGAACCCCTTTCCAAGCTCTTCTGTTCCACATCATCCCTTCATCTCCATCAATCCTTGAAGCCTGATACAGGAAACCCCGGCTCTTAACATTGGCTGATGCAGGGTCAGACCACCCAAACTACACAGCAGCTGTTTTTGTTTCTTATTGGCCTTTAATACATCTTTACCTGTTGGATGTGACTTGTTGCTCCGCCTCTATTAAATCTTGGGGCCTAGCTTTCCCTGAGCTAAGTCCAGGTATATGCATCTACATATCTGAGCATCTGATAAAGGCCGAGAGGAAAGAGGGAGGGCCTTGCATACGCCACTGAGCGCCCTCCTCCTCAGCCCTCCTCCTCACACATGCACTGTGTCCTTCACCCATCACAGGGGTCAGGAGACTGCCGATTCCTGGGGGAAACCAAGGGCCAGTGACCTGAGGCATTCCCTAGACCTACCAGAGCAGGAACCATAGGAAAGCTTTATTTGATTTGCCAATACTGACTTTTAAGACCCTCCCCTGGTTGCAAGTTTTCATCTTAGGATGCCAGCACTGTCAGATATGAGACCACCTCATGCCAACCTTTCATGCTGACACTCACTTGCCCCTCTACTGAAAAAACAGGACATCTCTGTCCACTTCCAGTCTATGTACTGCTCCTGCTCGATGGGCAACTGTAGACAGCTGGCAGGACAGAGGGGCCCCATCAGGAGGGGGGCCCTGCTACCTCCTGAGATGACCACGTAATCACTATTGGTATCGGCAGCGGGAAATGGAGGCCAGCGGGCTGTCCACACCCCTTGGACAGGTTTGGATGTGCTCCGGGACAGCCGCGGCTCCAGAGCCAGGTGTTTTTAAATGACCTTAAACCTAAGGAGTCGGGAGGTTTCACAATGCTGGCAAGTGACGGCATATTCCGCAGAGGACAAACCGGGACCCGGCCAGCTGAATGAGGGGCTTCGCCAGAGCAGCAGAATGGGGGGGGGGGCGCTCTCTTCTCCATCTCCTTACACCCTATCCCCTAAGGGTTAACACCCCCTCCTGCCCAAGCTCCATCTCCCTTTAATCACATCTGATACTGAGCGGCCCAGCAGGGAACAAAGGCCCCATTGAGAGAAATGGGGCCGAGAAAGTGACCCCCGCACTCTGGGGTGGCTGCCTGGATGCCAGCACAAAGGCGGCATTTCAGAGCTGAAATTTCAGCACCCAACTTGATTAAAGGATTCCAAAGGCTTGGAGGAGGGTGGCCGGGGTGCGAAGTCTATGACTCCCAGAATTAACCCTCATCCAGAGCAGCAGGCACCCCTCCCACTCTTGGGGCCACTCATCCTTCCCACCCTGACCAGGGTGCCCACACATGTGGGGTGCCATGCCTCTTTGGAGCTGCAGTGGACCAGAGGTCAGGCCAGACTACTCAGAAGCCCGCCTCCTCCCTTCTAACTATGCCAGTGTCCATGGCTGTCTTTTCTAAAAAAAATCGTTAGACATGGTCTCACATAGCCCAGGCTGACTTTGAACTCACTGTGTGAGGCTCCTGCCTCCGCCTCCATAGTACTGTGTGAGATTATACTTGTGCCCCACCATCCCCAGCTGCACACACATCTCCGCCACAGGATGTGAAAGGAAGCGGGATGCACCAAAGTGAGCCCGTCGCCGAGTGAGGCAGGAGAGGAACTCCAACTCAGGCTGAACTCAAGGGCACAGCATCCCAGCTCAGGTCTGAGAAGCAGAGGGCACAAGGAGGCAGGCCAGAGAGAGGGCCGTGGAGGGCACTGGGCGGCACTGGCCAGGGCCAGGGCCGAACAGGTGCTTGGTCCTTGCTCCAGGTGCTGACTTGTCCGACAGGGCTCTGCTGGGGACAGTGGGGATCACTGCACCCCCACACTTCCTGCTAGGGCACCACTCGTGAAAGGGGATCTGAGTCCTTGATAAGAGCTCGAGGCAGGTCCCTAGGAACAATGGCTGGCTTGATGAGACCTGCTCTGTGATACTCCTGAGAAGGGAGAAGCCCCTGCAGCCAGTCCCCACTGGAAAGGAAATTGGGGGTTTCCATGGCAACCAGCTCCCTGGGCACAAAGACTCATCTGTCTGCTGAGAAGGCAGCTGAGGTGTCTCCCTTGCAGCAGCTTTTGCTCTGGTGCGTGGGGAAGACAGAGGGAGGGATGGGGGGGACTCATGGGCCAAGGGCCTTGGTGCTTCCGAAGAGCTAATAGTCACAGGGCCCCCTGGATGTGAGGGCCCCCTGGATGGGAGGGTCCCCTGGTTGGGAGGGCCCCTGGATGGGAGGCCCCCCTGGTGTGGCCCACTCCCTGCAGCAGGTCAGGAACAAGGAAGCAGCAGGTAGCAGCACTATGGACAGCAGGCACAGAGGGACGGGAGGGTGAAGTTTATTATTTACATGTCTACAGTGGGCATAGGAACGGCGCCCAGGCACAGTCCAAGAGCTCTGCTCAGTCGGTGATGATGAGCTCGTCCACGCCCCAATCCTCATAGCTTCCATCGGGCAGGTAACGGCGAATGATAATTGGGATCTTCCGGGCCCTGTTGTGGGGAGAAGTCAGGGCATGAGGGCTGGTGCCCGGGCTCTGCGCAGAGAACAGGTGGTAGAGGCGGGGGCCGCGTCAACGCCCCCCACACACACTCCTGGGAGCCTGACTATAAAGATCAGACCACCTTCCCCAGACAGGGAGGCCTGAGAGCTGCATGCTGGGCCCTGGAGGAAGCGAGCACCGTCTGAGGGACTTACTTGAGTTCCTTCATGGCGATGAGCAAAGGGTCTGTCTCCCCCTCCAGCTCCACCATCACGGGGGCACACATCCTGCAGGGGCAGCAGACAAGGCTCAGAGGTCACGACGGTATCCTGATCCTCACCTAGCACGGTCCCTAGGCAGGCAGCTGTGGTGGCAGTGCTGTGCAGGGAGCCTCCAAGGACAAGCCCTAGATTTCTCTCCATATCCCAACAGCCTCATTTAAGATGAAGACGGTCGGCATTCCCTGCCTCACGAGACAAATGATCCCAAAACACTAAAGACTCCATGCCACTCACTGTTCTCGCCTTGATAGTCTTTATTCCTTTGACGGCTGACTTCTGACTTGTGAGGAAACTCAGGTACGGAAAGGTGAGTGACCTGCTCAGGGTCACACAGGCAGAGTGTCAGAGCCACGATTTGTCCCTAACCACTGTGCTATGCTGTGGCCATGGAACACACTAAAGTCATCGAATGGAATGTTCCACCAGAAAAGGCCCTTCATTCTCCACACCAGTCCAACCCCACAAGCCCTTCACAGCAACACCCCAGAAGGGCCCCTCTCCAGCCCTCATTCAAGCTGCCATAACAAACTTCCAGGCCTCGCCTGTGTTCCGGTTCTTAGGTGTCCCCCTTCTGCTCTTGGGTTAGCATGATGACGGTACTGGAGGGGGCTTCGGAAGGTCGTGAGGATGGGACCACTGAGGGTGTAAGTGGCTTTAGAAGAAGGGGAAGAAACCTTCCTGAGAAATTCTGTCCCAGGGCTGGAGAGACAATAATTAAGAGCACTTGCTGCTCTTGCGGAGGACACAGGTTTGATTCCCACCACCCACATGGTGGCTCTCAACCATCTGTCCCTCCAATTCCAGGATGCTCTCTGAAGGCATGGGCCTACATGCAGGCAAAATGCCCATTTAAAAAAGCATCGTGGCACACGCCTTTAATCCCAGCACTTAAGAGACAGAGGCAGGCAGATCTCTGAGGTCAAGGCCATCCTGGTCTACAGAGCGAGTTCCAGGACAGCCAGGGCTACACAGAGAAACCTTGTCTCAAAAAAAAAAAAAAAAACATGCCACTCACCCAGTTAGCAAGGGGAGCAACATCGGCCACCAGGTGGTGCTAGTGGGCCACACTAAACCCAACCGGAAGCAACCCAAGAAGCGGCTTCCTTTAGCACCTGAGCAGAGGCTTGGCCCAGTGCTGTGCCCAGGACAGGCAGAGCGCCACCAGAGCGCGTGAGTCCCTCGGGGGAAGGAGCACTAAGGCCTGGACTACGCCGGAGCCCTCTTACTCCACAGAAACCGCTGACAGTGGGTTGTCCTGGATGGGGGCTTGTCTAGACACCTCACATCCTATGAAGGCTCCCCACTGGCTCATCAGACACATGCCAGTTTGAACCTGTCCCTGCAGGGTCTTCTGACGTCTCTTACTAACTTTATTTAACTACTTAATTTCTTTCTTAAAGTTTTTTTAATTTGTATTTGTGGGTCTATGCTGGGGTATGTACAGGAGGTGCCCATGGAGGCCAGAGTGTCAGATCCCCCGGAGCTAAAATTTTATGTTTACAGACAT